TTTGGAGTTGTGGAAACTTTCTTGCTTTGCTTTTCTTTTTTTTTTGTTTTTTTTACTGGAGTTGTTTTCTTTGTGAGCGATCGTGGTGCTCGCACTCGGCATGTTTTTGCTAGAATGCTCCTAAAAAAATTGTCCCTGCCATGTTTAAAACTCGCCGAGTCTAAATCACGGTTAGGTTGGGTTGGCACGATGTCAGGTCCGAGTTAAAAATTTTTGGAACGAGCAAAGTCTCGTCAATTTCGAGGATTGCAAAAAAAAAGAAAAAAAAAGTAAGAAAGCATATTATACCTAAATATGATTTTATTAATAGATTTTTTATAAGGATGAGAAAGGAGGGGATTATGTTAGGTTGGCAACCAGCAGAATACTTTTGCCACATTGCTAGTATTAGTCAATCCCAAATAGCTAGGGTAAGGCTCCGATGATGATAATGATCATCATCATCATAGATTTTTTGCAATTAAATTAGGTCGGCTACACGTATCCTGGTTCTCCATTTTGTTATATTAAATGCCATATCCTCGGCCATAAATCACCATATATTTTCGGACTACTTCCAACCACATCTTTTTGGGCCTACCCTTTACCCTTTTCAGTCCTTCCACTTAAGCTAACTCGCACCTCTTAAGAGGTGTTGTATTTGGTTTGCATCACACATAGCCATCCCACCTAAGTGTAATATCTATCATCTTATCGTCTATTGATGCTACACCCAAATTCTCCTGAATTGATTCATTTCGAAATCTATCCCTTCTTGTCTTGCCACTCATCCATCTCACCATCCTCATCTCTGCTATTTTTTTTTTCATGGGTATGTTGTTTTTCGTATGCCCAACAGTTCGCCCCATAGAGTAAAGCTTATCTTACAGCTATCCTATAGAGCTTGCCCTTCAGATTTCATTGGCAGGCGACAATTACATAAAATTTCAGTTGCACATGTCTACTTCGACCACCCAGCCCTATTTCTGTGTGCGACATCTTCCTTAATTTCTCAATTTTCCTGGATTATCGACCCAATATATCGAAAGTGCAATCTTTTTTGTACTTCCTGGTTGTTCATCTTAACTACTTCACCGTCTCTACTCATATTATTATTAAATCGGATGATAATGATAATATAAGGAAGTTATTATACAGAAAAAATCTAATTAAGCTACTTGATATCTATTTTCTATATATGCAAAACTAAGTTGGTGTGTCGTACGATGTCACAAAGTACGATAAAATTTATTTTGAAGCTTGAGCTTAGTCAATGCAATAAATGCAACCATCCAATTTCATATATAATAGGCAAGATTAATTGTAACTACTTCATATCAAAGGTAAATGGTCCCATTTTATACTTTTCCTTTACTAAATACCTATTGTGTATCATGTAAAAGCACCTTCTCATTTATTTTGTTGATTGTGAATCCGTCTCCTTACCCTGCATTAGTTGAGGCATGCAATTTAAATAATCAATTAAAATGTTTATTTAACAAAATTGTTTATAGCCAAAACAAGGAGAATCTCGGGATGAAATCCTCTCCGATTCGTGCTTCAAACTAAACAGCATTAATTGTGTATTTAAGTTCCTTATATAATTTATATTAATATGTGATATTAATTTTAGGTGGTTAACTTGCATGAATTAGTCATGGAATGTGGTGTATGAGCAATCATAATGAAAGAAAGAGAGAGAGTTAGCATCTTTGTTTGTTTTGTGCTTACTCATTGTCGTGAAAAACCTATGCTTGGATTGAGGAACAAAGTGAATGTGTAAGTAAATAATATAAAGTAGTAGCACCCCACACTCTAGTCACCACGTTATGGTTTTTATTCTCATCACTAACTCCAACCCACTAACACCTTAAAAAATCTAACTCCTAGTTTACTTGAAAAAACAGGTAGGACTGTCTTCCCTACTGAATTACCAAAAAAAAAAATACTAGTCAAATATATATAATTAATCCCTCATTATAGTTTAATTAAGGAAATTGAATTTGCTAAATATAACACAAGTAAGTTTGGTGTCAACAAGACAGGGTCAAGAAAAACAAAATTTTTGATTCTATTACAAATTTATAATAGGATTATCCAATAATAGGAAATCCTATTTTTAAAAGTTTGTAAAAAGTCTCATTAATGTACTATTAAGATATTTTGCATGTGCAGATATATAAATTTAATTAAGATAAATTAACCACCGTATCCATTTTTCAACTCTTGTTGAAAATTAATATTAAGTTAGTATTGTGGTATACTTGGCCTATTCATTTTCCTTGGTTAAATTTTAGTGAGCCATTAATTATATTTTTGTTGTATAATAGGGGGTGATTTCATGGTGAAATAATAATACAATGAAACAATATTCAATAATTATATTATGGGCCTTTTTGTTTGACCTCAATATTTTAATATATATTATTTTCATTCTAATAAATAATTACAAAAAAAATTGAAAACACAAATTAGGTAGTGTTTTTTTTCGCTCGATTACTGTAAAATGTCTATTTTAGTGAGATACCTAGATTTAGGCTTCAAAATGATTTTTTTTTTCTTTCTAAAGTGTTTATATAACTTTATTATCATTAGATTAACAATGTTAAAAAAATGTGATTTTGAATTCATTAAGGCTTAGATCTTGAAATTCACCAAATGGGTAGTCGAGACTCATTGTTGGTCATGTTAACCATATCTAAGATTTAAATTTTATTTTTTGAAATTTGCTATTGCAATGAAGAGAGTACCTATGCAAAATTTTGGGGTTGTATAAATGCTATAAATATAGTTTCATTATATTACAATGACACAATGATATGAAATCATTTCCCTTATATAATTTGTATTAATTTATTGTATATTTTAATACCTATTGATGGTGAGTGGAGTAGAGGCTGTAAATGGAGAGTGGATTTCGAGTGTCGAGAAGGCATTAGGCACCGGAAACTCTTTTTTTAAGAGCACATTTGGGCAGTGCCTTTTCATATTAAACCTCAAAACAATAAAGAAATGAAAAGTGGTTCATGTGGGCTAGATCTCATTTATACATGTTGTCCAGAGGTATAAAACATCAATCTTAAAAATAGATGCAAATAGGTGGTCTATTTAAAAATAATTGAAACTAACCGTCCAAATGCTTTCTTGATAGAATTATTATTTTTTAAATTTTAAAATTTATTATCTTTTTCACTTTCATTATTCCATATTAGAGTTTACATGCCCTTTAAATTAAGTCCAAAAATTCATCTAAAAAATAGATTTTTAAGACGTGACTCATTTATACATGGACTCATAGAAACCGTGTCTATAAAAAAATGTTTCATCAGGCATTTGTAGGTCTCCCATAACTTCATCAAAGTATATAAAATAATTTTCAACTTAATATGTTTTTCTTTTTCTTTTTTAATTATTTTTACATATCTTTAAAAAAAAATTATCTCTAACATCATTCAGGTAAGGTTGGCCACCAAACTAGTGAGGGATCAGGTCAAATCAAAACTGGTTTTATTGTCAGTGGTAAGGGTTCAACCTAATTTAGAAAATGATGAAGTTTCTATAAGGCATCTGCTCTATAAAAATCAAATAAAGCCTCACCATAAATCCTTGTATGGAAAGCACTTTTGGCCACACAAATTTTCATGATGGCTCTAAAATCAATTTCAAATACCAATAATAAATTTTGAAACTAAAAAATTGTACAAATCTTGTGGATTTTTTGTTGGAAATATAGCCTATCAGGCACTTTTATCCTGGGAATTTTTTTCAATAATGGTATAAAAGCCATATTGAATAGTACATGTGAAATCCCATGCAGTTGACATGAGGGAATTCTATATACTAAGATCCAGTTTGGAGCTTTTATAGGATGTTGCGCTGGAGGGAAAACCCAGTGACATGTTTGGATTCTTTGTAAGAATTATTATTTCTATATTATAGATGTACAAAATTATTTAATTTCTAAATATCTTTTATCAAGTTGTAGGAATACTTGAATGACATCCTATTATGGGAGTCATTAATACACTAATGACAGGTTTAGCTCATTGCATATGATTAACAGTTTGGTGACAACTTGTTAATCTTAATTGGCTGCACTTAACAAAATTAAGGCTAGAGTTATACTTGGATCTCAACTCCTATAAACCATGAATGTGAGAGATTACAAAAGATGGTTCTCTATAAAAGAGGTTAACCCCTCAAGTAAAATAGAGAATGATAGAAACGAGGTGAAGAAGATTTACCAAGAAGATTCTCAATGTAGTTTTTACCTGATGGCTTGGTCTATAGGTTTTGGTATGGAATCTTAAGTCTCTTGTGTGATTTAAAGACAGATCCGAGTAAGTTGATTATTTATTTATTTGTTTATTAATTTTCATTATTGGGACTAACATCATTGAACACTTATTTTTAGGACGAAATAGACAAGTCTAGATAATTTGTTAAATATACTATAATTTTTTAGAATTTGAAATCCTAATTATTTTTACAATCATAATGTTCAAGTTGTGATGATAGATGCAAATGTTTTCCCATGCTTGAATTACAATTTTTGATGAATCATTACGTAAGGCTTTATTTTTGATAGGGCTGCGGCCCTATCAAACCATTGTCCTTAAAAAATATTAGTAAAATAATACGAATAATATTTAAAAATATAGAATGTATTAAATGCGGTTGCCTATTTTGCTTGGCTAGTCGAATCGATCAAAACTAACATGTTAGACTGGCCAAACCTGACCGAACATTGACTCTTATTGCTTTTGATCGAATTCAATTTTTTACTCTAGATTGAACCAATCAAAACACCGGCAAGTAGTCAAATTAGTCAGATCACCGATTCGATCCGATCTTAATAACTATGTGCTCGGCGCTTGGTGTGGTCACGGAATTCACCTTCGGAACCGGTTCACCGCCCGAACCGGTTTTGAAGGTTTAAGGCAGGGCCTTTGGTGGGGGTTTTGAAGCGGAGCTGTAAAAAGGAGGGAAGAAAAGAAAAAAAAAGAAAAAACAAATAACAAAAAGAAATAGATCACCTCCTCATTTCCATAGCGGTAATGTATGCCCTACGTCGGCACAATCGCTTTCCCGTAAGTTTAGGGTTTCAGAGTATGATTACTTTGTAAGTTGTTCCTTTGGATGTGTTAATCGTCGCAGTTAGCATTCCTTTCTTCTGTCTGCAACATTTTCTTTTAGTTTTCGATGGAGAAGTTAATGGTCATTTTCTCCGATTTTGCGCTTCAAAAGCAAACTTCGAGCTCTGAATCTGTGGTTTGACATACTTCATTTTCCATGTTCACCATTTATAGGTTTTTGTTGGAAGGGAATGATTGAAGAACGACTAGGCCTAGCTCTTGAAGTGGGGTTTCTTGACATTCATTTTTTTTTTCCACATGTAACATTTATTATTAGCCGGAGCAGAAGAACCAGTAGGGAATTGGGGCTTTGAAGTAGAAGAAACACATAAAAGATATGGACCTCGAGATGGAGAGCGTCATTTCAGATTCTGATGAGCAAGTTCGTCAAAGCAGAGAGCAGTTTCGTCGTTATGGGTAACACATTTTTAGCTAATTATTTTCCGCCTTTTCTTGTTAGTTATAATGGCTTCGTGTTAAAGTGATACACATTTACATACTTAAACATTGAGAGTGCTGGAAAATCCTAATCCTTAAAAGTTTAAAGCTTAAAGTATGGGGTATTGGATACGAAATTCATTTTTCTTAAAACTAGTATTAGATGTGAATTTCCATTAGTCTTTATCTATGTTGTGCTTGTCATTTTGAAGATTATACTTGTATCAAGCAAAGCATGCCCTGGGAAATTATTGATCCGACTTTGTCATGTATTTTTTCATTTGTGTTTGTCTCTTTGATCGCTTTACGTATGATGCCAATTGGGTTTCTGTATCCTCGAGAGAGATGACCTGATTGATTAATTGCCTGATGATTATTTACTCTTTATTTCATTGAAGCAGTGAATTTTTAATTCTCTTTTTGGATATTTAGTCCGAATTGGTGTCTAGCTATTGTATCACAAAAGTGGTAAAGTCGATCAACCTTTTTGTTGACTGGTCACTTGCTTTAGAGGGAAGGAATTACGATTAATCTCTAATCACAAGTGACCATTCTCATAACCATGTCTGATTTGATAGTCACCCTCATAAAACCAATAGAAAGGAAAACACATGTCAAACCCGATCTTTTCCTTTGAATCTTACCTGATTCTTGTCCAAGTCCTCCAAAAATCTTTCGAAGTTTCTTAAAGACATTCAAATCTTGGTGGAATAGTACACGCAAATCAATTTGATACTTGGCTAGTTGGTGCATGCTGGTCATCTTTATCTGTATTTGTGTACTTGTATATAAATATATTTTTGTAAGTAAATGTGTTTGTGTCTGCACACCTGTTAGAAAGATGCATAGACACATTTGAGCCCTATCCTTGAATTCTGTGTGTCCTAGAAACTGTTTCATAGAAATGTATTGGCATGTCATTGCTGGTACAGAACTATTTCTTATCTAGTTAATGAAGGGTTTATGTAGGCATGCATTTTATGTCTATATTTTGTTTATTTACCTTACCATACAATGCTTAAATCACAGTTTTCGATGTGCCTGCAGGAAAAGACAGTCATCTTCCAGCAAAAATTCGGCTAAGTCTTCTGAATCCAGGCCCATTTTTGATGGCTGTAACTTTCAAGGACTACCTAATGCTGCTCTTTTCCTTGAAGACATCAAACAAGAGGTTGATAATTTTGATGTCGATGCATCTTATGTTTCCAAGAGAAGAACTTCTTTGGATGGTCAGCGGTCATATGAGCTAGATGGGACGATTGAATCAGCCCGACAGGCCCGAACACCTCTCAAACATTTCAAGCATGAGGATGAGTCGTGGGCGGACAGTGGAGAGACTACCTTCTCCTTATTTGCATCCCTTATAGACTCTGCTCTTCATGGTGGTCTAAATTTCAAGTTCTTTTCATTTTTTCTTGATGTATTTTCTTCAGTAGTTCATTTTGTACCTCCTTGTGACAACATGCATGCTGAGCATTTAATCATTTTAATATTCTTTGTGACTTGGGAGATTTCTATGCATGTTACATTTGCCTTATGGAAATCGTTTTGTAGATATTTTTTTCATGAACTTCAACCAAATTACTGGGGTGCCTTATATAATGTGTGTTGAACCAGATGCGTGGATCAATTTTGAGGTTCCATGATGCGATGAGTTCATGACTTGCTGCTATCCTGCACAGTACATAAGACTTACATGAACATGAAGAACAATCCCTTACTCTGTGTTTGTGCACGTACATGTGCATGTGCGCATGTTGCATGGATGTGAACATACAAACTGCTAAATGAGTGGATACCTTAGGCATCCATTCATGGTCACATATGTTAAGAACTTAGAATAGATAATGCATATATGCAATGATATAGGACCAAAGCAATTGGACCCTATATGAGTGTATCAAACTTTGGCGGGTTTCTATGGATTTGGAAGAAGTGGGTTAGGCTAGTTTAGGAGTCCTAGTTGGGTTGGGTTGGGTTCATAACTGGAATTAGTGTCCTAATTGAGAGGCTTCTCCTAGCTACTTTAGGATTCTGCATACGTTAGGATTCCTTCTAGAAGTAGGAGTCTTAGGAGGTTTAGGAGTATGACAAAATTTTGGACTGCAATGTCTTGAGGATATCTATGTCTTCCTAATTCAAATATGGGAATATGAGATCTAAGTAAGGTAAAATTGCTATGGTGATATAAGATTTGGTATCATTTGTAGAACTATTGGGTTCGTTTTAGAGGGTGTTATCAGAATTTGCTTAAACCTTACAGGTCAGCAAGGGTAAATAATTGATTTGAAAGGGATTCAAGTGAGATAACTGCTAATTTAGGGTTGGGTGGCTTAATGTTGTAGGACCATAGGTTATGGGTCTAGGAAGGAGGTGGACTATTGTAAAACCCCCAACTTGTTGCATTCATGCTGGTGGAGGGCTCGGTGCGTGTACTCTCCTTGGTGCGACCAACAACCAAGGAGGAGGCTTGGTGGGTGTTATGTAGAGCCTTGTGCTGCCTTGTGGTATGGACTGGCATCCCACTATGAGGGCGAAACACGAGCCTTGGGCCAACCGACCAATTGTGTTGGACAAGGCAGGTGCAAAGACTAGTGTGTGTAGGCTCAGGCCTCACTGCCACAAGGGAGAGCTAGATGTGAGGTGTTGTGCCCGAGCTAGGGGGCTTGCCAAATTCAAATTCAAAAGGAGGTAGCACCATCATTAGAGGGCCACTGATTTGGGTGTAACGGTGGGCACAAAATGGGGGACTAAGTCATGGTGGCTAGAAATGTGGGCAGTTAGAGCATAGCCAACCCTAGTTGCAGCTGGCCACCAGGTGGTAGGCCATGCAATGGGGTTGGCTAACACATGTTTCCTTGCATTTGAAATCAATATTATAATCTGAGGTCTATATGGACCCCATGCTTAGACCTTGAGGGGCACCTAGCGTAGTGCCTTGTAATTGTACAGAGTAATAAAATTGGCCATGCTCCTTCTTGACCTTTTTGTGCATTTGCTTGTGCAATTGGTGGGTGAGTAAGGCCATGCTCCTTCTTGACCTTTTGTGCATTTGCTTGTGCAACTGGTGGGTGAGTAAAGCCATGCTCCTTCTTAACCTTTTTGTGCATTTGCTTGAGCGACTGGTGGGTGAGTAAGGCTGAACCTGACCCTTAGGTAGTTTAATTTAGGAGCCAGGGCCGCGTAGTTAGGCTAGATGAGAAATAGCCTTGTGGCAGTTGGTATTAGAGCAAGGCTTATCCGATCTCTAAGATGTGGCCCACATACTAACCAATCAAATGATTCATGTGGAGGAGAGACTCTTGCTTGACCCATATTTGCTTGGAGCGAGAGTAGGAGTAGGGGTGGGGTGGGAGTGACAGATTGACCATGCTGTCCAAAGCGCATTCCGTATAATTTATTAGATGATAAATAAATTGTTAATAGAAAATTTTCAATTTTTAAAGCATCCAAGCATTCAATAGTATTAGTCCCAGGGTATAAAAAATTATTAAAAAAGAAGAGCGCATATGGCATGGTCCAGCAGGAGCATATTGCACATTAACTCCCCCTGGCGAAAGAGCTACTTGGGAGGATTCTTTTGATTTGATCTTTTGGGAGCCACTTAATAATAAATAGATGATTATTTTCACAAAAGGAAAAATGAATTTTGAGATCTTCAACACTTCGATAATGCCCACTAAAGGTTGGACAGCCCTTGTTCAAACTTGGGAAGATATTTTCTTCAAGCACATAGAGTGAGATTTGAATTTGCTTTTTTTGAAGTTGGTCCCTAGCAGTTTTTTGAAAACTAGATCGGTGAAGTGGATCGTTCACCCCATTGATCCATGTTGTATCGTTGGATCGATGATCCAGATTGGCTTGATTCAGTGACTCAGAAAATATTTAAAAGTCAATAAAAAATAAAAATAAAAATAAAGGTTTATGGGGTGGGAAGTTTCGGGGGGGGCCTAATAATATTAAATGAACTAAAAAAAAGGCAAAAAAGATATAAAAGGGGGGTTTATAGGGAGGGAATTGGGCTGGGACCTATACCATCTCAGAACTGGTTCGATCTTGACTGATTCCCCATCCAGTTTGGGGATCTGGTTCAGAAATCACCGGGTTTTAAGACATGGTGTCCCTAGGTTGAAAAGGTTACACCCCCCAAAATTTGGGGTTTAAAAGATACTCCTAACTTAGGTTTTAACCGAGGGAGCAAATGGACAATATGCTTCTGCATGAGCAATATATCTTTTGGCAATAAGAACTTCTATTAAAATATTTAAAAATGTAATCATTAATATTATGATGAGGCATACATTGATGCAGTTATAACATCACAATGTAGTTACTAGTTATGGCTTTATCCTTTATGCAATCATTATGGTGTAGTTTGTGATATGGCAAGTGTGGCATAAGATCCCTATGTTAGGGATTGAGATCCCCAATAAATCCTACAAAGGAGCACTTAATTGTGATCGTGGAGCGAGATCGCCACCTTAGTTGGGAGATCCTGGTGACTATGGCTCGACCAGATGGTTGCTTGATTTTCTGCCTCAAAAGTGAGCACCTTGGCTCTCACTACTGAACTATATAGATGGTGGCAGCTTATGAGCACTCTAGTGCACTTGGGAAACCCGTATGAGCGAACTAGAGGTCGACTTTGCTTCTTAAGTGACATGTTCAAGGAGAACCTCAAGATGCTGACTTAGGAGCTTAGCCTTGTCAAGAGGGCATTGAGTAACTCTCCTAGCATATGTGAGTCGCCTAAAGTTCAAGTACCCAAGCCTAAACCTTTCAACAGAGCTAGGAGTGCCAAGGAGTTAGATAATTTTTCTGCGATATGAGCGCTTTTAATGCTACTTATGCTCGAAAGGCGGACCAGGTGACTGTGAGTGACCACCTTGTACCACATTGTAGATGCCAATCTTTGGTGGCGGACACACACCTTTGATGAGTCAAGACCTCCAGTGGTGAGTTAAGATCCTTTCTCACTAGGTAATGCTACTTGGATTGCAAGTGAGGTATTGCCAAAGCTCAAGTACAATGCCACTGTGCCGAGTACATGAAATAGTTCTCGAGCTTGAGGCTCATAATCAAGACTATGTCAGAGGTGGATAAGTTATTCAACTGTAGCCATGGGCTTAAACATGACTGAGGCATGAGGGTGTAAAAGATCTCCTCGCAGGAATGGCTAATGTGGAGAGTCTTTTGGACTATGCGCTTATTGCCTTGTTGCAGGGTTCCTGGTAAGGGGGAAGAAAGCTGGTGGGGATCCAAAACAAGAAGCAACAGGGTGACACAGAGGGGAGTCTCCTAGCAGGTCAGGGGCCAAGAGGGGGTTCTCGGGCTGCTTCATCTGAAAGGGCCCCCACCGAGTTAAGGACTGCCCTCAAAGGTAGGCCCTCAGTGGTGTCTAGTCTATGTCTGAGAAGGAGGAAGAGGTGGAATTGGCCACTCTTCATTTGTTTGCTATGCAAAAGTTGAAGAAAGTACCAATCAGAGGTGGCCCAATGTCCATGAGGTCACCCTCACCCTAATTGGTAGGGAGTTGAGAGTGATGGTTAGCACTGGTGCCACACATAACTTTGTGTGGGATCAGGAGGCAGCATGACTAGGCTTCAAACAGGTTGGGGACCCTAGCAAGATGAAGGTGGTGAACTCAATGGCCTAATCAGTTGTGGGGATTGCCAAAGAGGTGTTTGTTAAGGTCAGAGATTGGAGTGGGTGCATTTCAGTTAGATGACTTTGAAGTGATCCTTCGGTTGGGCTTCTTAATAATGGCCAAGGCTTCAGTTGTGCCACACCTTGGTGTGGTGACTATTATGGATTAGAGGTACCCTTATGTGGTCCAGGTGGCACAAAGAAAGGAAAGATGTTGTTCGCGCGGCTGTTGAAGACTGGGTTAAAGCAAGGGAAGACCACCTACTTGGTGGCTCTCTTGACCAAAAAGAATGAGGATGGCGTGGTGGTGCCTCGTGCAATTGAGTGGCTCTTGAAGTAATACACTGACATTATGCCCCCAAAGCTTACCCAAGACCTTGCATTCTCGCCCTACACTGGATCATTGCAGTGAGCTCGAGCTGTGTGCATACTCACTAACTTTTGCCCCTTGTCTTAAGCCCCATCAAAACTGGTTAAACTTCGTAAGCAGTTGGATGAGTTGTTAGATGCTGGATGATCCTAGCCATCCAAGTCCGCTTAGAGGTTTAATTTCTCTTGATTTGACGTGGATTGGGACTCAACTATCTGTACTTTCCTTAACATCTTAATGTTTTTCACATATGTAAATACTTACTTTATAGTTTTTTGTTGTGATTAAAAAATATGGAGTATTGAGTTTGCCTATATTGGGACCTTGGTGATTGTGGGGGAAAATGTTGGGGTTTGTGGCCTTTAAAGGTTGTGAGAGCATGTAAACGATATTTATAGTGGATTATACACTTCAGTGGGAGTGTATTGCTTTACTGATTAAGGGTGTTAGGTTAGGTGGTCTATGACCCTGATCATATCCAAAACCCATACTCTTGGGCATGTGGCACTATCGAAAAGGGCTTATAGAGGATTTGTTGAGGTCGGAGAGATGTCAAGGGATATCTTGTAGGCCAAGAGAGCTACGTAGTTAGGGTTGAGAATGGATCGGATCAGGTCCAAATCCACTGGGATCGGGATTTGGATTCAAAAGTATACATGGTATCCGGATCCGATAAGATCCAAAAATAATAGTATATATTAATTTGTATCTATGAAATAATATAAAATAATATATAACAAAAAATATTATATATATGTATTTTAATATTTCAATAATTGGGTCGCATCCGGATCGGATCCACCTGTACCCAGATCCGATCCAAATTACTATTTGGATCGATACCCAGATCCGGATGGGGTCCGAAATTTGGGTTTCGGATCCAAATCGGGTAAATTCTCAGCCCTATGTGTAGTCTCTTGTGTGTGGATGAATGCCTGTGAAAGCAAGGCTAAATCGTAAACAAACTTCCGTACGTGTATATGATAGACACATTACCGGGAAACAATCCTCAAGAGTGATGCTTGTACATATGCATCGAGAGTCCCCCTTGCATTATAGTGATACATGCTAGACTTGCTCTTAAAGGGGCAGCTGTAATCCACATTCGAAGACTGTGGTTCCATTGTTTATTGGCCTCCTTCGACAAGCAATTGGATGAGAAGCAATCTTAGGCTTCAGCTGTATTTATTTTAATCTGCAGTACGATGGTTGGTTAATTCAATGTTTTTATACTAGACAAAATCTTGCTAAATGCAAACCTGGTTTCCAGATTAGTCCACATATGGGAAACTCTTCTTGCTAAATAGTAATTTTGGTAATTATCATCCTACTCATTTTGTTGACTTAGTGGAATGCATAGCTTCTGATTTCTTAACTATTGCTGCTTTAAAGTGGTGAGTTGGTAATTAGTTCTCCTCTAAGGCAGTTTATGCTAGGAGTATTGGATTGTTTGTGTCTCTATAGATACCAATCAGGAAAAGATGGCCATTAGAAGACATGTTTTTATGGTGATAGACTTCATGTGACTGTCGAGTGTCATATACGTTCTTGGTTCCAATGATTCTTATTTTGGTCCTATTAGCTACATATGGCATTATATATTGTTTTTTATCTCTTTATGATGCTTTCATGGATAAAGATTTTCATGTGGAAGGCATGGAATTTAAAATGATGCCAGGTCAGGCAGTCTCCAGGAGCACAGCCAACTATCTCATGATTTATACTTACCCAGCATTTAGGCATAAAGTGTCATGTTTAGGGCAAGCATGGTATTGTTTTTTTCTCCATTTTAAAATGCCTGTGAATGAGTTTCTCACAGCTTCTTTGACTTTTTCTTTTCATTAATTAATCTCGAAGCTATTTTTTTTGCAATTTTTTTTTTTCTAAACTCGTTTTCTAAATTGTAATTTTTTGTGTTTGAAAACTTTGAATGTGTATGATGTACTACCCAAAATTTATTTGCTACCATGGAGTACATTTGAACTTTCCAACTTATTGTCTTTTATTTTGAAAGTTGAACATTGAAAAATTTGTTAGTTCTCTGTTTATATAGGTTGGTCTAAATAAGGGTGTGGACCGTAAACTTTCCCTTAACCCGTCCCTAGCTCGGGTAAAGGAGGTGTGTTGTGTTAGGTAGCAGCTAATGTGAAACTCTTCGAAAACTTTCCATGATTCCTGAATGGCGTCATTGAGGGTATGACCCTTGATAGAGTAGAATGGCGGGTAAAGGTTTTAGTGGTGATGATGATGATGATTTGTTATATAGGTATTTTTTTACTCTTATTGTTACTTCTTCCAAGGCATGAAATCATTGGTGGCTTTTCATTTTATTTTATCATTTTTATGACTTGGACTGTAGAAATAATTAGGTTTAAAGGTTGTCATTTGGTTTGAGAATCATCCCCCTAAATGAGGTTCTCACTCAGGCTCGGCAGGGTGCCTTGCCCAAGTTGCCTCCAAACTCAGCAGTATATATTAGTCGCTTATAATTAATTAGAATGTATTTAATCTTTGACTAAATCAGTTATACTTGACTCAGTTAGTTTTGTATGTACTTTTTATGGTTTCCTGATTTTTAATGATTTTCTGGTTTTTATTTTTGTTTTTTTCTGAAAAATGATCTTTATCCAGTTTCTTTTCTTTCTTTCCATTTTTGCCTGGTGGCCATGCCCTGTCCTGAAAATGTAGCTTCTGGGACACAAAATGTGGCCTGAGGGCCATGCTAGGGCTTGACCACCATGGCCCAAAGGTCAGGCCAGGCCTAGACAAGGGCCATGTCTAGAATAGGCTGAGGCCCGTGGTCTCTAAAATTTTTTAATTTTTATTTTTATTTTTATTTTTGTTTGGCCCTTCCAGGGCGGGACCGCTGCGAAGGCCTATCTTATGTTTACCTTTTATGATGTTTATCATTTTCTTTTCCTTTTTTCAAGTATTTTTTCCTATTTCTCTAGATTTTTTAACTCTTTGGCAGACTCAGCAAAGACTTGGGTGAGGCGACTCGGACTCTCCCAGGTGACTTGGCTAGCCTAGGGGTCGAGTCCCGTTGCCGAGCTGCACTGTATTACACGAAAGCTTTGTTTATCCAGGGCTGGATTTAAATGTTTGTTTTTGATGGTGCAGCCTGAAGGCCATTAATGAGATTTTGTTATCAATCTCACAAGATCACCAGGGGACCTTTCATTTAATTGTAAAACAGTGAGGAAAGTGGATTTTTGCTTATCCTCTTCTCTTTGGAAATGTGTATAGTATATGGTATAACATTGATCGCCATTAGAAGATCAATCATATTTTGTTTGGCAAAATAACCCATCTTCATATGCAGCCTAAGTTAATTTCCTAGATTTCACTTACCAATTTTTGATTCTCCAAGTAATGTTAGTGGAGAACACCATACAGATTAGCCATCCTAATTTATTGACTCGGAATTGTTGATTGTCTTACTGACTTTTCATTTTAGATGTAGAAATAATAATTGCCACTTTGAGTTATGTAGAGATTGTTTCTGAAGGGTTCGAGCTAAACATCACTGATTTTTTAGAAATTGGTATATCTCACTTGAATAATGGTCTTATGGTGGTAGAAAATGAGGATTTATGTCTCAGAATGATCAATTAAGCATGTGCTTATAGTTCTAATTCTTTGTAATAATTTGAAAACTGCAGGATTGATTCCATTTCCCGATTTGATTTTACAATTTGAGAACAAATGTCGAGAGGTATCTGAGCTCATCAAGTATGTCAGATGGCGTGGAATCTTATCATTTGTACTACAGTGTATATGCATAATTGAAACCTCATATATCTTAGTCTGTAGTTGAATAATTTGATTGTTTAATTGTGATACTATACTCTTGTTGGTATATGCGTGAGGCTGTATGAATGTCCCAGGCTTTATATATTTGTGTGTTGTTTTGTGTCAGTTCAACTCCCTAATAGCTGTAGTTGTGGCTGATTGATTTCTCTAGGAAGCTCTTGTTCTCATCCATGATGGTTGTACTTCGTAGCTTTACCAAATAACGAAAGCTTATTGCATATGATCTTTTCTGCTTGTGCCAATTTCAACCAGAAAGGTCTAAATGATTCCAACAAAGAAAACATAAGAACCCTTCAATGCAACTCTTTTTAGATTGAAATCAGATAAGCATGAGTTTCAATATACGACACTTGTTTAGAAAGACTTACGAATTTATAAGAGCCTGTCGAAGATGTAAGTGTTTGGATCCATTTTGTATAATCTAAAACAGTACACAACTCAATGTGGCATCCAGGGTGAAGCCAGGGACATGTCAGCCCAAACGTGGCACAAAACCTTGGGAAAGACAAGGCGTGCCATACCCATCCTCAATATGACACAAAGCACTAGAATGGATACCAGGATACCTGTATTTCCCAAGCTATTTAAGGCATATCTCCTGTCATGTGAAGCCTCTTTGAAGACCCCCTAAATGGTCTCATAATGCAATGACACATCAAAATACGCTATGGGAACCCCTCCACCAACTTTGATAAAATTTGGACCTTTCGTCTGCCCAAAAGTTCATACTGGCGTTGAAGACTCCAATCAAAGACTCCCTAGACACAGCCTCAGAATCGGATGAAACTTGGAGGATCATCAAAATGTGGCCAGGGGAATGCCTCCACCAATTTTCATTAGATTTGGACCTCCCAGTGGCCTAAAAGTCCATGTTTTTTTGTCATTTGAAGACACCGATCAAACACATGCATAACTGTTGTGGAATAGGATGAAACTTGAGGGATCATCAAAATAGGCCCAAGGAAGCTCCTCCACCAATTTTCATAAGACTTGGGCCTTGCAGCGGCCCAAAAGTTCATGTGCCGGTCATTTGAACACACCTGGCAGAGCCCCCGTCTAAGAATGGGATGAAACTTGGAGGATCATCAAAATATACTCAAGGGAACCCGTCCATCAACTTTCATAAGATTTTGACCTTCTGACAGCCCAAAAGCGCCGCTGGTCATTTGAGAGTATGGTCAAAAGCTCGATCAACTGTCTCAGAATGGGGTGAAATTTGGTGGAAGTTTAATCTAATGCATTGTAAACCAATCCTCCGAATTTCAGCCTATTTGGACACCATTTGACCTGAATTTTGAGGATATGAAATCGAACTCTGCAATCCTTCTTGAGCTCCGTAGTCATTAAACCAGAAAGTGTCATTGATCGATGGCATGTCATTACAAATTATCTCCGGTTGCCATGATAATCGGTGGCTAATTTCAAGTCATTCTGACATTGTTTGGTCTACTTTTGACAAAGCGATGTTCTGAGAGAAGCCCTAAGAGCCCTGTCCGCCCCGATGACAGAAACCCCATAAGATAATCTCCAGTCCTAATGGAAGTTTGTAGGTTTGTAATCTGAGGAATTATAAGCATTTTGTCAAAATTTCAGTTCATTTGGACTCGATATAATGCACTTTTCGAAGAGCCAAAGTTCAAGGTCCAAAAGGCCCACACCACTGGTTGTTTGAAGCCACATTACCGCCTATTTGAAGCCTTCACTGCCTGTCGTTTAAAGCTAGCTGCTGTCATTTGACAAGCCTGCTGCCTGCACATAGACTGCATGATCACCAGAACTTCTTTCTCTGATTTCTCCCTCGTATTTGGGTATTTTGAGCTGAAATTTGGGAAGAATAATCTTCTTTTGTTGCCCTACAGACCCATAAAAATACTGGGAGAGATTATCTCAAGATTGGCGAGTAAATCAAAGATCAAATCAAGGGTTGCAATGGGCCTGCTGCCTGCAGCAGACTGCATGACCATTGAGGCTTGTTTTTTCAATTTCGCCCTCATCCTTGGGTCGATTTAGCTGAAATTGTGGGGATTTGTAGCCATTAAAGGCTGTGAGAGCATATAAATATAGTGGATTATACACTTAAGTGGGAGTGTGTGTGTTGGTTGATTGACCAAGGGTTGAGTGGTCTATGGCCATGGCCAAAGCCTTAACCATGGGCATATGGCACTATCGGAAAGGGATTATAGATGGTCATCCCTTGTTGAGGTCGGAGAGATGCCCATGGATGGTTTGTAGGCCAGGAGAGCCTCATAGTCTCCTGTGTGCGGATGTAGACCTGTGAGAGTGGGGGTTAAATCTTCAACAAACTTTCACACAACATGTACATATGACAACCACATTGTCGGGGAGCAACCATGAGAAAAAATACATGTATATATGCCTAGGGAGAGCCCCCTTGTAATATAGTATTATGTGCTTGACTTGCTCTCAAGGGGGTGGACATGTAATCTATAAGCTGGGACTACGGGTTTCTATTTTTTATTGGCCAACTTTGACGAGCCAATCATGAGCCCCTGCATGAGATTGTAAGTCATGGGTCTCGTAGAGTCGGTTTGAGAAGATACTTGAGAATGATGGTTACTTGGTCGGGTGAAGTGCCCTTGTAGTCATTTATCTTGACCATTGGTACTAGTCAACTTCTAGATATTTTATTTTCAATTTAAGAAATGTTTCTATGAATTTTAGAATTTTTAAAATCAATTTTAGTCATCAAAACCTTAAAAGGGAGTTTCAGATATTTTAGAACCATTGAGGGGTAGTATAGTACACGTTGGGTTCCATGGATCCAGGCCACATATGTGCTAGTACCCACATGGATGGGGCGTGGAGCCCATGGGTGGCCCATACCATATATTTATTTTTGACTTCTACAACTTTAAAAGAGATAAAGAAGTTCTAAAGAGTTCTTTTAAGATTGGTCTTATCCTAGTTTGACTAGAAGTAGATATGGATCACAGATTCAGGGGTTCTTAATATTCCTCCCTAAATCATAATGGTTGATATATGAAATAGATGGTTCAAATTTATTTCTCTGAACTCATAGATTTCTTAAATTCCCATTGGCCATGGTGAGTCATGATTGGTTAGGCATACCTAGGGTGGGCCTTGAGGCCTATATAAGGAGGAGACCCCCCTAATTCTCTGCACATCAATCTGTAGTATGTCTCTCTATTTTCTCTCTCCTCCACGCCCTCTCTCTCTCTCTCTCTAAGTGACACGCCACCCCCATAAGGCTTTAGGGGTGGCACACCCAACTGCAGTTAGGGTTTAAGAGTGAGGCATGCCTAGCAGTAGGTTTAGTTAAGGGGAGGTGCCACAAAGCAGCATGCCCCAAAGAATTAAAAAGGGTCTTTTGAAAACCTAGTTGTCTCATGCTCTCCTAAAACCTACTTTGTGAGGTATTCCTAAAGATTTCCAGCTCAGAAAATTCACCAAGGCCAATAGGATTTGAGTCCGCTAGCTGTCGGAAAATCGGGTGTGGGGTGTGTTAAGTCCTGTAGGGTTGACCATAGGCATTCTCGAGTAAGTCTTCCCGGCTGTTATTTTGTTTTTCAGTCATATTTGCTTATTTATTCTGAATTTTCAGGAACATTATTTGTACATAAATTGTTAATGGAAGCTTGTTTTCCATTCTTGGAATATGTCTATTCCATTTGACAGTAAAAGAAAAGTTCCTAGGTTGTATTTAGGGTTTGTTTTCTTATTTGCAGTAGGACATCATGGCACTTATAAGTGGAATTATATTCATTAATAAAAGAAAAAGACAAAATTTTTAATTTTATGGCCTTGAATTCCACATAGCCACTTCTTTCAGAAATTTGAGGGAGAATTATCCTTTCTCGTGCACTTCAAATCCAGTCAAGAGTTCCAACAAATTAAATCAATATAAAGGTGCGGTTTGAGCCACAATTCTCAGGTTGCAAATAGATTGTGTGCATATGAATAGCTCATGAGCAGTTGATCCTGGTAAAACCAAAATGCCATCATTTTGGGGTGTTTTAATTGGGAATCAAGTCACCAAGACCCAACTTAATGCATCATCATCCCACCAAGGGAAATTTGGCACACCACGTAAATATATCAAATTGGGGACAGAGCTACCCCAAATATATGACACTCCCTTGTAATGCCACCGGTGGTTCGAAACACCAACTGACCCATGTGATATCTTGGGCAATCTACCCACATTTCATTCCAAACTTTCCCATCACATCTTAGGTAGGAACTAACCCTATTCCACCCCTCTTTGGCTATAAATGTCCCATGCACTGGCCATTTGGAGGAGGGGGTCTTGATCATTTCTAAAATTCTAAAAGAGAACAACACCTAGAGCCTTGGAGAGCAAGAGAACAGCAGAAAGCTGAGAAAGAAGAGGGAGAAAGTCCCAAAATGAGAGAGAATCCTAAGAAATTAGAAGGGAGTTGAGACATGAGAGCTAGTACAATGTCTTACTCCGAAATTTTAGACCTCGAGACTTCAATTTGACCAAGAAGAAGATCGAAATCCAAGCTCAAACGTGGCCCCCTTGATCATCATCTCTCGAGGCAAAAGGAATCATACACTTTGTGAAGCAGGAGAATTTGAAGAAACATAGAAAATCAGCAAGAAACAAAGCTAAACACAAGTATAACTCAAAGAAACCTAGGGTTTCTTCTCCATACCCCAAGTTAGGGTTCCAAAAAGCCTAAGCTTTTCTCTCTTTTAATTTCAAAAAATCATGTGCAATTGATCCTCTCAAGGCCCCACACACCTTTTATATATTGTAATTCAATGTTCAAATACATTACATGTCCATACAATGATTAAAATGACCTATATATACTAACTTAAACTTAAATTTCATAATTACAGTTTTACCCCTATGAACAATACTCATAAAATAAATAGAAAAAAACATTAAAAAACCAACAATTCCTAAAAAACTAAAAACTCCTAGAAATAAACCCTAACTGAAACTGTAACATACATCCTTTGAAATTGAATAAAAAAAAAACAAAGAGCTATTTTTCCCTCCATCACTCTGCCATGTCACTTTCCCCTAATTCCTTTTTTTGGATATTCGTCAAATTTTTGTAGTGACTTTTACCATCCAATTAGGGGTTTTCTACTTGCCAAAACATGGGTAGATGTAAATGACTGGATGCTTGAGAGCGCCGAACTCTTCCTCAAACCCAAATTATATAAATTTTCTTGTGATTTGTGCTGTTAACTGTGTGTTATTTCCGATTTCTCCATTTTGGAGTAAATTTTTATAAAAATATTTTGGAAAATACTCTGTTGTGGCATTAGTAAGTTATATTAGAAACTGTGTTAGGTAACATATTGTATGACACAATCCAAAAAAAGCATAATTCCTATGTCACTATCACAGGACTTGTTTTTCCCCTGATATGAAACACAAATATTTTATTATACAATTCAGAAAAAACCATGTTGTCTAGTTCTTGATTTCTTATTTTCCCTTTGAGTAACTCAATATGCTGTCAGACATGTAAGGATATGAGATGTCATACTTATCAGTATTTAGTGTGTGGCATGTATATTTTATATTGAAAGTGAACTTTGAATTCAGTTAATTATTCTGTCAAAGATGGCATTGTTTCTTTGAAGTTTTCCCTTATAAATGCATTCGGATAGTCTTGTGGATGTCTGAGATTGGATATGAAGTCATTTGCATGTAGGTCGCATTTCGGATTCATGATTCTTAGATCATGGTAAACAAATATGTAACACAAAACTAAATCCTTCTCCTTTTCATGTGATGTGCAGAGATGGGGCTACAGGGAGGCATCGGATTGTGGAAGATAAATTAATGAAGCGAAAAGCTCAAATTCTTCTTGATGAAGCTGCTACATGGTCGCTTTTGTGGTATCTCTTCGGGAAAGGCAATTATTCTCTCTACCTGTTGTGCTAATTCGAGTGCTTACAGTTGTCATTGTTGTATGGGTTAGTCTTTTAGTAATGTTTGGACTAACAAGATTGAAATTCAAAATGTGGGTTACAATTTTTGGTATCTGCGGTTGATGAATAACATAAATGCCACCAGTTTAGGTTTAAAAAAAAAAAAATTGAATGCATTTGTAAGGTTATATTTTGTTCATATTGCTGAACTGCTATTATACGGCAATTGCTTAATCCTGGTTGAAATACTTATTTAAATAAAATCATTGTACATGGTCTTTGGTAGAATGATCCATGAACAATTCTGGAACATTGTCTGCTTCCACCTGAATTTTTTTTTAAAGGCTTTTCTATCAAAAACTTAGGGAGCTTTTTCCCCTCTTTTAGGTTTGTGCATATGCACAAACTCTTGTTTATGCATGTTGGGGGAAGGAAAGTGCGAGTGGGAAAGGGGGGTTGGGGGGGGGGGGGGTAGGAGAAGATGTAAATATGCAAATGTTTGCGAGTTGCTCCATAAATACTTTCTGTTTGTCTGCTTGCAGTCATGTCAGTGGCATCCAGCTAGAATGAAATATGTTGTGCTCTTCTTTTTCCTTTATTTTATATCTTCAGTATTATCGGTTTTGATTAACATGAGTCTAGCTGAGATGAGGATATTGAGATGGATGAGTGGCAAGACAAGGAAAAATAGAATTTGAATGAATACATTCGAGAGAACTTTGGGGTAGCCCTAGATAAAATGAGGGAAATTTGACTTAGGTGGTTTGTTGATGTGCAACGTCAACCTAGAACATCATTAGTTAGGAGAGGTGATTTTGTTGAAATGAAAGGCTCTGAAAGGGCTAGGGGAAGGCCCCAAAGGTCATGGGTGGAAGTAGTGAGAAAGGATATGATGAGTTATGGTCTTATTGAGGGTATAGCCCTTGATAGAGCGAATGATGTAACATGATTCATGTAACTGACCCCAAATAGTTGGGATAAGTCTTGGATGATGATGATAAATGGTGATGATGATGATGATATCGAAGTTCTGATAATAAGATTTAAAATAGTTTGAAACCAATGTTATTCCATTCTTATAACTTCTTTTGATTTTTTTGTGGATGGGAAGCATCTTCAACTTTTGCTGCTTGGGATGGCTCTATAAGAAGTTTTAAAGTGAAAAAAGCTAAAAATAAAGGAAAATGTTAAAAATGAAATGACCTATGAAAATTGCTAGTATCATCATCATCCGAGCCTTATCCCAACTATTTGGGGTCAGCTACATGAATCTTGTTCCACTTCAGGATTCATGAAAAGATGTGGCAAACTTTTGCACTGGCTGCCCTACCTAACACAACCCTCCTTTATGTGGGCTTGGCTCTGGCCATGGTAGAGTGCTATTATGTAGGGAGAAGTTGATTTGTAAGTTGTCATGAGTCAAGATTCTATGTATGACTGAGTAATTTAACTACTTTCTTGTTGACATAAGGGAAAATAACACAAATATCCCTTTAATTTTGTGGTATTAAAAAATGTCTCCAATTATTTCTATTTCACACGCATGTTAATTTTTTACCCTTTTTTATTTTTTCCCAACATCAGAACTCCAAGATCGAACCAGTATGTACCCTTACCTGGCTTAGATCTTGGTACATAACTTTTTTTTTTTTGGTACATAACTTAATGTTTTGAACCTTTTTTTTTGGGGTTAAATATGCGAATTGGAACTTAGTTCCGAAGCACTTTTTCTTTCTGAAAAAATGTGGTTCAGAACTCCAAGTTCTGAACTAGTTTTTTCTTTTTCTTTTTTCTTTTGATAGGCCAGTTATGAAGTACGAATTCCAGACCAGGGGATTCTTGATTCAGGACCAGTTTGTGACTTCAAGTTTTGCGCCGTGTGGCCCCACAAAAAGTAAATGCTTTTGAAAAGATGGACCTCGTAAAGTACATCTTGAAATAAAAAAACAAAACGATTTTCCTGGGAGCCAATGTACACTTTGCACCTATTAGAGCAAAAGGGGATCAGTGGGGGAGCATGGGGTTGGAGACTCGAGGTGGCAATTGATTGACAGGTCGAAGGGCGCGAGAGGCAACTTTTCAGAGAAAGGCAATGGTGATGTGATCGTGGAAGGCTGGTCATCATGAGTGGAATTGAGTATCAATTCAGGGGATGAGGAAGGCTGGTCATCATGAGGGGAAGCTTAAGTGTTGGTGCAAGGAAAGAGGGTCGTGGAAGAGGGAGGTAAGTGTCAACTAGGGGTTGATGGGGACTAACTTCTTCCATAAAAGCTCCCATCATGATATGTGCTTCTTATGTGATCGAGGCTTGGAGAGAATGATGAAGCGCCACCTCGGTGGATGAGAAAGGGTTGACAAGATGGCTGGGCATTAAATGAGGTTGGCATTCGAGGTTTTGCATGTTTGCCTCGTCAGTAAGTATTAGGGGGTCCATGGTCAAGAAATACCTAAAAGAGATTGAAATTGATCTCGCACATAGAATTAGAGCTGGGTGGGTGAAGTGGATATGTGCGTCTAACCTTTTATGTGATTGCCGCATACCATTGAGATTGAAGGGGAAATTCTATAGGACGGTTGGAACATTAGCCATGCTTTTTGGGGCGAAATGTTGGGCGGTCAAGAAACAACATATCTATAGGAAGAGCATAGATGATACGAGGACTTTGAGATAGACGAGTGGCAAGACAAGAATGGATCGAATTCCGAATGAATATATACATGGGAACTTAGGTGTGTCTTCAATATGCGATAAGATGAGGGAAGGTAAACTTAGATAGCTGGCCATGTGCAGCGAAGACCTAATTTAACACCCATTAGGAGGTGCGATCCAGTTCAAGTGGAAGGCTGTAAAAGGGCAAGGGGAAGGCTCCAAAGGTTATGGATAGAAGTAGTGAGAAAAATGTGGTGACTTTTGATCTTACTGAAGGTATGGCCCTTGATGGATAATAATGGATGAACATGATTCATGTAAATCATTTGGGTGATGATAATGATAATGATGAGGGTAATAAACATCATTTTGGAAGTATGGTGTAAGGTTGATGGAGGTATGGTGCCAGCACTAGGTGACTACAAGAGGTTGGGGGTGAGAGTTGTGGGTAAGGTGGTTGGATTAGGGATTCGTGCAGGTGTGGCAGGGCTTGTCTCATTAATGGGGGCTTTTAAGGAGGTTTCATCTGGGTTTGGGATTGAGGTTTGGGTGGGGGATGTTATAGTGGGGGTTAGGGTTGAATCTAGGGCTTGTTGTGTTCTGTTGGTCGAGCATAGGGCTTGTTTCTTTTCTTGGGTTGGCGGCTACGGTTCGTGGCGTGGTGGGAGACATGTGGCAAGGTCTGCAATTTGTTTTTTTCTTTGTTTGGGGGGGAGCAATGCATTGAGGCCTGATGATTCTGTTGGTTCGTGCTTTTTGCTATGTCGTTTCCTTGGATGGCATTTGCAGACCACCAATTGCCATCCCCCTCTACGTTTTATGTGGTCCCTGGATCATTGTTGGGAGCGCTGTTGCTGTGCAGTGGTCTGTAGTTGGAGGTTGGTGGTCCATGAGAGTGGAGGGTTGGGTTTGTGGTTCAATGAGGTTGGATATGGAGATGGAGTAGCAGAGTTTGTCAATTTGGATGGTGATGTGGTCAACCAAAGTATGCAATGGATTGGATGAAATGAGGATGATAACAGATCCAAGTGGCAAGCCATGTGATTGATTTTGATCAAGTTTGATGAATCCTCCGCAAATGTCTCCTATGGCTTTGAAGGTTGTCAAGTACCAGGCAAGCAAAGGAATGTCTTGGACGAGGACTCTTTCCTGTTAGGGATGATGGCTGAAAAGATGGTGTCCACTGAGAGAGATAATTTACCTCCTCTGAAATTAAGGGTAGTGTTTGTGATGGTTCTACCAGCGATTTCCTTGGAGGGGAAAGTGGATGGGTGTATCTTTTGGATAGAGTATGGCATGATATTTGGGCTAAGTTCCTAGTATAGACAACCCACTTTCAAATGTTCTTGACTCTCGTCCCTTGGAGGGGAGATGCAAGCAATGCATGACTATTTCAGGAGATCAGTGTTTTGTTAAGGAAATCTTCCTGAATCCTAAGGAGTTTGAAATGAGATAGGTATAGACAAGATGGTGTGTCTGCGGGTAGGGACTGGGGTTTTGGAAATTGTGGTTTGTGCAGCTTGTTCATAGGGGTGGCTTCGCTATGTGGGCTCCCGGGAGTTGGGAGTTGGTATGATTAGAATCTTTTGGTTAGTTTGAACAGGTGGATCCTTGGGGACCAACTTTTGGTCTTTGGTGCGAGTAGTGGGGGCTGGACCATTGGATTTATTCGCAGGACGTATATTATGTTCCAGTACTAGTTGTATGAGGGAGGTAGGTGAGTTCCTAGCATTTATTATTGGGAGGCACCTTTGGCATGCTTAAAGTTCATACTGCTCGTCTAGAAAGAGCAAGGTGCAAGTCAGGGGGAGGGCCTTCCTCTTTCCGAGGTGAGAGGGGTTGAAGAGGACGAAGGAAAACGAGCTCAGAAGTAAGAGGATATATAGATCGCATATGTCAGATGTTTGCACGGCTTGAAGAAGATACAGGTTGCGGAGCTTCATACATGGATTGTTCTAAAAAGGATTCTCGCTTTGGTGCCTTTGCCTTGAAAAAACGTTTATCTTCACTTGGAGACGAGTATCTATTCTGATTTCTGAACAGATCTTATACCACATTTACTGAGAATTTGATCTTCATTTATGATGATGATTCTATCTAAGAGCGTTAATTCATTCACTGGCTTGTGTTAATTTGGTAACTGCCTTGTCTCTTCATGTCATGAGCAGTCTCATTTGTTGGTTCTAGCTTTGCAATGTAAGTTGCGTAGCCCCCTGGTAGCCTCTCTTGCATTTCCATTAATACTTGTATATTCTTAACACATGGGGGCTGTATCGTGTAGACCCTGATGTGGATAGCAGATACTGCTAGGATACTTAGATAGAAAATGACAGTTTTTTTTGGTATAGTTAGCAAAAATTCTATCAATGTATTTAAGTACTCTACAAGTGCATTTTCATCAAATGACTCTATGTTTGAGTCTATGTGACATCACAAAATTGACACTAAGGAAGAATTTTTGGACACAGTCATGTCGCTGGATGATCTGCTATTACATTGGTCTCCCTCTGAGTGATGAATACAAACCAATAGATTGATGAGGATTGAAAATATCTCCTAAAAAATGCTTGTTAGTCTCCAGGGTGTTTCACTTCTTTCCTTGCCCAGGCAATAACATTCTTTGGATCTCCTTCTGCCATCAACTCCCTCCATTCTGGTCTTAGCCCAAAATATTTAGACGATCCATAATCATCCCAATGAACAAGCTCACAAAAATAAATATAAAAAATACTGCTAAAATGTGGTAAATACATGCCGTCCATTTAAGGAAAACAATAAATGGTGTTCGATTGAGTCTTTAGGGTGACCCGAAATTGTGTCAGTGTTGTCATTCACCAGATGAGCAATTAAAAGCTAAGCAAATTGATTTTTTGACTGCATTTCACTGCATTTCTATCTTATGAAGAAATCCATTTTTTAGGTGTTAATATATATAATCATCATCATTTTAGCCTTTTCCCAATTAATTGGGGTATATATATATATATATATAAACAAGATAGGTTATGTTGGGAGATTTTGGCCCATGAGCTAATGGTATAAATTAGCTCAGGGGCATTTGCATGCCTTCCCCAAGTTTATATTTGTATGAATAGAGATGGTAAATGCATATATTTATGTATTGTACGTTCTATGAAACATTTATCAATGTGTTAAATGGGATACTCATACCTGTCTGCTTGTCTTGGATTTCAAGTTATAAGGAGTTGTCTCATGAGTCTCCATATCCATGTTCATAACTAAATCTATGCCTGGGCATCGTAGCCCTATAATATTTGAGAATGATGTATATGTCAAGTTGTACTCATAAGTGCAGGCAAATGCAGTCATATAGGGCCAATGATGGAGAAGACAGAAGAACGTGCCGTACGAAAGAGAAGAAGGGTGAAAGAGCGAAGGGTTAGGGTAAAGGAACAGAAAGGCAAAGAGGTTTTGAGAAGGGTGAAAGAGAGAAGGGGTTAGGGTAAAGGAACAGAAAGTCAAATAGGTTTTGCAAAGACTTTCTCCTTCCTTGCTCAATTGTCCACCATCATATTGCCTCTCTAAAGACATGTTGGTACTTCTCCTAGGTCACAAATGGATGAAGTGCTATATGTACAGTTTGTTACCTGTCTTTGAACCAAGGGACCCCCCTTGGTAGACTTCATAATGTCCCACAGAAATGCGTATAGATGGGACATTTGTTGGCTTTCATCTTTTAATGTCTTGCTCAGTTCCATTATCTTGGATTCCATAACTGAAACCATTGAAAATATAATGTAATGTTTATGTGTTCGCATGTTTGTGCTTTTCACGTGTCGAGGAATCATATATTTGCACAACCAGTTCATGTCATTGGTTGTGCCATAGTTGCTTGGGAGCGGGAGAAGGAGCAGGAGCATGGGTGGGAGCAAGAGTGGCAGTGACAGATCGACACATGCAAGAAGCTCACTAGGTAGGGAGAGCATTCCATACAATTTTTTAATTAATAAATGAAGAACGTAAAAAACTTGATTATCTTTTATTTTAAATTCCTGTAATCCAATAAAATACAATAAAAGAAGGGCAGTAAAAATGGGCAATAAAAAATAATTATGTAGCAATTTAATAGTAATTAATTAAAGGTAATATTCTTATATTCCTATTAGGTATAGTATATAAAACAATAATCTCAAAAAATACAATAAAAACTATTATGATGAGGCATATCCAGATAACTGATAACAATACAAAGGAGGTGAAATTTATTTATAAAAATGAGCTCAATTTACAATTTCATACTTTAAAACATCCACGGGCATAGCATGATACTTTATGTACATTTTTACACTTTGTGGCTTCCAAAACCATTATAGAGAGAATATGAATGCAGATAAGATCCAAATGAATCATCGTCTTGGCTTTTTCTTGCCCCTTCGAGTAGCTAGGCATGATACCTTAAAAGTGGGGATCAAGATCCCAAGGAGATTCCTATCCTAGATTGCTGGAGCGCAATCCTAGAGTGGGGAAGTCATCCAACCGTAAAACCATCCAAGATTGCATTAAAGCTACCATCATTTAGGCAAAACGGTAGAAAGGTTTCCACACGTTGTCAATTTCGGATTCATAACTAACTAGAAGGTTCATCCTCACATACCGGCCAATGGTGATTACTAGGTCAAGTGTTCGGAGATTCCCAGTACTTGATTCCCTCAGACTTAGATAGTTGTTCCCTTGGACAACCTAGCATTGCTGGTTATTGGGGTATTCTTAGAGGTCCCCAGGGAAACATTATTTTTCCCTTCTCAGGTTGCATTGGCACTTTTGACTCAACAATGACCGAGATGATTGTGCATTGAAAGGACTTAAAGGACCTTCCAAACTTGAATCGACGGCAATAATCTTATAGTTGAGGGGGACTCGAGCAATAGTATCCTATTGACCTCCAAGAGCGCCCAATGGCCATGGATACTCGTTCCTTTATTTGACCATATATTTTCCTATGCAGGAACCTGCCAGTCAGCTTCACTAACTTGTGGAGGAAGGCCAACCAGATAGCTGATTTCCTTGCCAAAGAGGGGGCAGCAAGGTGCCCCACAGGGGCCAGTTAGCTCTAGAGACATTGGACATACCTCTCTCGCTCTGTCTTTTCTCCCATTCTTTTATCCCTTCTCTTTGTCTTGCTTCTCCCTCCTCTTATCCCACCTTTTTTATTACACAGCTGTTATTTATTTCCACAAAAATCATTTCCTCTTTCTTTTATTGTGGGGGCCTTGTATGTTCTCTATATTTTGACATTTACCATGATGTAGAGTACTCTCTGTATGTGGGCTGTCAATTTGTTTGTTATAGAACAATCTACAGAGTGTACCAAGTAGAATACATTCAAAGAGACATCATATTAGCTAGGCTGGGTCTTCCTGCAGTTCATTCACTGGAATCCCCAACAGGATAACTGCATAACAATCTCTGCTTCAGTACCCCATCTTCTGAAGCAACCTTGAGCAAGTTACAGTATGCAGTATTGTGTAGGAATACATGCCAGGTATAATTCTTTCCACATATAATACCAATATAAGCCAAAGAGTTTTGGTGGAAGTATCACCTTGTTTAAAACATTTTGGCTTCATGTTAAACCACCTTGAGTCCATGATAAAATATATGAAATGACACACATGGGGCTATTTTTCAAAAGTGAATATGCTATAGGGGCTTGGAAAGCTAAGGTTTCTTACTAATTGTCGTGGTTGGCCTGGTGTAATAAACGTATCATTTCCTTTATTTTTCTTGAATAATAATGTTGCTTGCTCTTTTCTTGTTTAGTTGATGGGAATGCGATTTTTTCATACTTGAGCTTTTGATATTCTACAAAGGATATTTTATTTGGGGGATGAAGGCTGTTGTCCTCTCATTGTTCAAAACCCTATAAAAGTAGTTTTGCTATTGTTTGCAATGTATAAAGATATACTTTGGGAAAAGCTATTTAGAGGTAAATGCTTTGTTCTCATATAGAAGATGTTAAGTAAGAACACATGCTTTTTATGGCCTCTAATTTGAGGTAGTTTATTTGTCATCATGCAGGGAATGATGAGATTCCAGGTAGTCTTATAATGGTAACGTCCCTCTCAATAACAATTGATTGTCTTCTGCTTTTTTAGAACTGTTTTTTGGCTTGTCATGACTTTTGGACATATATCCTTGACAGTCTCCTTCGACTTCACATCAAGAGGCTTGCAACTTTGTTCTTATGAACCACACAGCTCAGTTGTGCCTTCGAATTGTTCAATGGCTTGAAGATCGTGCTTCTAAAGTTCTCGATTTGGAGAAGAGGGTATATATTTCTTGCCATTATGGGACTCTTGTCTTTCTCTAGAAAATAATGTCCTTTTTATAAAATGGAGGCACCGAAAATTAGACTAGAAAACCACATGGTTCAAACTCTCCCATCTTGGAGGATCTTGAAGATTCCCTTGAACAGGGGTCACGGATTTGTCTAGGATGCTATGCATGCCATTGTGAGCTAGTAAAGATCATTTTTGGTAAAAAAAAAAAGTGGATTCTCTAAGATGACCTTGACAACTTACCATGCATTACATATGGAAATTGAACAAATTAGTAGTTAAGAGTTTTTTGTGTGTTTTGAAAACATATTTTGCTTTGTCTTCCTGCTCTCCCCTCCCCTAGCTCTCCAATCAGTTTTCTGGAGTCTTGGTTTTTGGTAGGCAAGTTTTGTGCCCTCTTTTCTCAATTTGCACACTTGAGTTGCGGGCTGCCTGCTCTGTATTTCACTCCCGACTTATGGGGTGCCCGTTTCGAAAGCCTATTTCTTTTCTTCCTTTCCATCATGAGTTGCTCTGTCCTGTTTTTCCTCCCTTCTCTAGTAATCTTCATTTCCTCTATATGTCCCTCCTGGCAGCCCCCTACTCTCTGTTTCTAAAAGTAAACTTTTTTGTCAAAAGAAATCTTCATCACTTAGATGATTCTTTTTTTGTGTTTATACTGAAACATTCTTTTGTTAATGGAGCACCCAGACTCTCAGCTGCCTCTCTCACATCGTCTGAGGACCTTCTGTAAATATTTATCAATAGTTAATATATAGTCACCGTTATCAAAAAAAAAAAGAAGCACCAGATTCCAGGCAGAAATGAGTATATAAAAATATATTGTTCACAAATATAGAAAGATAAATTCAAAGATATTGTTCATAAATTTATATTGTTACATATTCTATAAAGAAAGAAAGAAAGAACTCAACCTGCTGCTTCTCTAAAGTTGAATACCTGTATTGTGATCCACAGTATATGATAGTGGTACATCACTTGTGCTTCAATAAACTTACACCCAATATATGTACCAATGTCCTCAATCCATAGTTAAGAACCTGCAATATAAGTTGAATCTATGCCCCACTGTCCATATTCCATGATAATAGAGTTATTAACCTACTCTTTAATCCACAATATGAATGTTCATCCTTACAAAACTCTAATCTGTGATCTATTTTTGATGGTTCATTGTCCATATCTATGTGATTCGCATTCCATGTATCACAATGCATGAGCTATAATTCTACTCAATGAGCTATTAACTTGAGTTTTAATATTTATAACTGTTGAGTCTCAAGTAATTCATTGTAGGGTTTATTGGTGGAGTGATTTTCTATGAAAAGTGAAATAGAATATAAAGCGTTTGGTTCCTATGAGGAAGCTTCATCTTTAAAAACAACATTATAGGGATTCTCATGGGATGACATTAGTATATATCTCATTATTATATTGGGAATGTTATGTATTTAGCCATATTTCCTGTTTTAATGGAAATTCCTTAATAATAGGGATGTGTGGAGTGTGGGACATACTACACACATCCCATCATTAGGGGATTTTCTCGTACCTCCTTTTGTGAATCACCTCTCTCTGTACCGACTTACTCTCATTTATCTCTTTTTTTCTGCTTTTATCATCTTTCTCACTCCCACTTCGCCTTTTCTTCTTTCTCTCTCTACACACACACACACATAATCCCATGGGTTATGGGACGATGATCCTATCAAATGGGGATCATGTCCCCATGGAAGATCCACTCTTGCAGCGTGCAACCACGGTTCTGGAGTGGGTTTGCCCACTAAAGGGGTTTCTGAAAAAGGCTATTCACAGGATGAAGGAATTACACTGATGTAACTATGTTCTAGGCTATTCTTAAGTATTAATGCTGTGAGTTATGTCATGATCCTAGCCCAACTAATCTAGGTGGCAATACATTTATTAGGAAAAGAGATTCTCCAAATGGTGATACTAAGGTTTAAAAAATGTTATCATGGCTATTATGATAGTCATAATGCAAACGAGCATTGGCTGCTACAGAAAATATTGCAGAATAATGGGGTACCCTTGACGTTAACTTCCATTACACCCATTATAATGGTATCCTTGGCCATTATAATGGGTTGTAATGTATCTTAATACCTTGGTCTGTGCTTACATTTAAAGGTTTGCAAATTTTGAAACTCTGATTGTACTATTTCTGTTCAACACAATACTTTCCTTTCATTGATTTTTTAACAAAGTAAAACATTTAACATTTTCATTAGTTTCTTCTAGTTGGGCACAGACATTTTCTTACTGACCTCTTGTATGTTTTCTATGGATCCTCTTATTCTAATTGAGTTTATGATTGATTTCTTCTTTTATAGTTGATTTTTCAATATAATCTTACATGCGATCTTTTCATGGATTGTTTTTATTTGCAGGTTCGGGGATGGCATGTTGGATCTTATCTTCACCACTCTGGTGTATGGCATCGAACCCAGCGGCTTTTGAAGAAAGGCCCCACTGATACCTCCATTATCCAGCACTTGGATTTTGACGCTCCAACGCGTGAACAAGCTCATCCAGTTCTAGAAGATAAAGTATTGATTTGGATTTATATGCCTGCGTTCATGTTTTTCTACTGTACAAATGGTGACATGTTATGTTGGAAAAATTAGAATTGTCCTTTTTGATGCACATTGACTACGATATAAACCTCTGGAAGTTTTTTGTTGATGTAAAGTAAAGGACCTTTTCCTAGCTTTCAATTGGAAAAGGAAAAGCACAGAGCCAGCACTGCTCTAAATATCTATGGATGAAGTATGGTTTTTGAGAAATTTTTTCTATTTAATTTATTTTTCCTGTCTCTGTTATGTTTATGTTAGAATTTCTTTGCTGACCGGCTAAGAGAAATGTTTTCTTCCATGGACCGTTCACCTTTTTGCTGGTTGTTTTTGTTAACACTGGCCATTTTCATGGTGTCTTTATTATAAGCTCATCAAGCACTTCTCAATATTTGATTTCTTAACCAATTGGAAGGGCAACATTTCTCACAATCCAAGTCAATGAAAAGTTATCTGGTGCCAAAAAAAATTTCGGAAAGTAAACCTCGTCACCATCTTTCCACCTGGAGTGAAATCTATGCCTTATACCCTATAACCCACCACCACAGCCTTCGCCCTAAGACTCCTTTGCTTCCACCTACGCCTCCACCACCGTCTCTCGCTCTGTCCTATGCTCGTGTTGCTTCTTCCCCCCCTACGGTCCCACCGGTGAAGCTACAGGTTTCATCCTCTTCTTCCGCGTCTTCTCTGGCCTCTCCATTCTTACCATTCTGTATTATCACTGAACTAGAGGAGACTGAGAAACTAGCCTGGAAACTCTCGGCATCCCTGGTCGGTACTTTTCACTTGGGACGTGATGACTCGAAAGGGATTGAGAGGTGGGCCAGAAGCCTGTGGGTGGAGCCCAATCTTTTCTGTAGACGGCTCTCTAACGGAGACTATCTGTTCTCTTTCCCCTCTCAGAACCAAGCTAACCATGCCTTTATCAATAGTTCTTTCAAAGGAACCCCTCGCTCTCTCCGTCGTTGGTCGCCTAAAGAAAACTCCTCCAGGAAGCAGAGGGTGTGGATTACCCTACACCACATTCCGCTTCATGCTTGGTCCCCTGTAACGTTCAAGAGAATAGTTGCAGCTTGTGGTAACCTAGTCTCTGTCCACTGGATCTCGCTTGAAACCTTGCCCTTAGGCTCTATTCGCCTACTAATCAAAGTGTTGGATCCCACGAAGATGCCGCGAAAGGTTTGGTTGGATATCAACGAATATTTACCCTGTTTCGATCTCTTGGTCCTCTGCCTCTCCCCCCTCTCTTGATTTCCTACACCAACCTCACCGGAATACCTTTCCGGTTACCTCACCCCGGCAATGGAAGGTGGTGACAAGGAAGAAGGTTTCTCATTTGAGGCCTTGTCGGAGACCCTCTGAATCATCACAACGGCAAACTTGGTGCCCTCGCCCTTCGGTGCAGCCCACCCAGAATTTGGCAAGGAACTCCTTCTCGGCACTGGTAGGGGACCCAGCGGAAGGCCTGACTCGTTCTGACTCACCTTCCCCCCCTGTTCTTGTGCAAGAATCGCTGAGGCCTTCGGGTCCAATGGTAGATTCGGGCGATGCAGGTGAACTGAACCAACGCTAGGGGATGGAGGTTGTAGAGGACTCCTAGCCTCTAAACGTCTCGGGCTGGGGCGACAAACCCGGCCTTCATCCCTCCCTCCCCCATCTTCTCTCTTGCTTGACGCCGGGCCTCCCCTTCTACCCGACCATTTTCCCCCCTTACCTTTTGACTTTCCCTCTCCCCCGACATCTCTCTCTTCTCCTGTGAAGGCCACGTGTCCTACTTTCCCCCCTAACCCCTTACAACCGCTACATGCATCGGTTCACACGCGCCTGCCTCAGGCGCCCCAGCCGCCTGACTCCTACCACCTGGCAGCAGAGGACTCTTTATGGCAGAGGGAGCAGCTCGAGGCCTTCCAGCTGTCCCTGCCACTAACAACCCCCTCATCCTCTCCTCCCCAGGGGTCACCTTAGGGAAACCCTGACTTCTCACCTAACCCTGGCTCCCTTCGAGGCCCTCTACCCTCTGGTGGCGTGCTCGAGGCTGACCTGCCTAACCCTGTCCTATCTCCCTCTCTTCCCCCCTCTTCGGGCCCTTTACCCAATCTTTTTGGCATGCAAGCGTCCTACTAGCTGGCCCCCCCTCCAGTTTTCGTTCAAGAAAGCCCTGCCAACTATGCCTGATATACTTTCACCGGAGCAACTTCCTATAAGTTCCCATTATCCTTCTGAGTCCTCCTCGCCTCCGCCTGCCACTGTATCTTTGCCTTTTTCTCACCCTGTCCCTCTCTCCTCCACCGCTCCAGTGCTGGTGCAGAGTCTTCCCCTTCCTTGTTCCCTCTCTCTCTCTCTCTTTCTTCCCTTTTAACCTAGACTTCCCCTCCCCTGTGGGCCTTAAGCCCTCCACCATCCTGAAGATGAACAACAACTTCCTTCCAATTGGCATCGTCATCTCCCAATCGCTGGACCCCTACCCTCCTGACACTGCAACAGTTGTAGAACTCCTTGCTCCTCACCTCTCCTTCACCCCCCACCTCGTTCATATCCAGAGGGCCCAAACAATCCACTTTGCTTGGTCCCTTGAATCACCTTACCTTATCTCCTCCTACACTTCTGTCCAGTTTCACCAGTTCCTTACTTTATTCCTACCATCTCCCTCCTCCTTCTTCGGACTCTCCCTCCGACCCAACTGCTCATATTCTTGAGAACCTCCCAGTCGGTAACTCCTTTCTTTCTCCCCCTTTGAATACTCCCAATGATCACCCTCCCTTCTCTGAGAATGATACCTCAGCTCCTATGCTGGCCTTGTCGTCTCCTATTAACCCTAGCCCTTCCCCACCTCTTCTGACCCTTCCCTCTGACCTATACCCGTTGGCCCAGCCTCTTAACTCCTCCTTTGTTATCCCAGAAGAACCTAGGCCTCAAGGAGTTGAAAAGGAAGCAAAACATTTTGAAGACAGGGCTAACCTAGTGGAAGATAGGATGAGAACTATGTTCAGGATAATGGGAATTGAGTACGTTGGACCAGAAGGACCCGCACATAGATTTATCACGGTGAACGCTGAAAGCAGGATACAAGTGAGACTCAGAGGACAAAGAGAGCTTTGTAACCTGTTTTCTTCCCTTCCCTTCCCTGGAAAAGTTTTGGATGTTTGTCCTCCCTCTCCCTCTCCCTCTCCTAGACGCGCTAGGAGGTCCCCAGGACTGTCCTCCTCCCCAGCTCTCACTCTCCTCAAATGAAAGTGCTGACCCGGAACATCAGAGGTCTAGGACAAGCCTCTAAGAAAGACGCGGTCAGAGCCTTTACCCATAAACTCTCCCCAACCATTCTAGCTCTCCTAGAAACCAAACTACTAGACCTTGACCTACAGCTTATCCATCAGGTCTGGGGTAGGAGAACATGGCAGTGGGTCTCCCGGCCGTCATTTTGGGCCTCAGGAGGTATTTGGGTGGTTTCGGACGCATCAGACCTATCTCTTATCTCGCAATTCACTGGGGAATTCTCAATTACCCTCCTTCTTTTTAATATCACTGATGGCGTCTCATGGAAATTTTTGGCGGTCTATGGCCCGAATTCCAATACCATCAGACAAAGATTTTGGGCAAAATTGGGCCACATTGCCTACCTTCCTCACCCCATTTGGTGTGTGGGAGGTGCCTTTAACGTCGTCTGCTGGTCCCATGAGAGGAATTCCTCGTCCTCAATCTCCCCAGAAATGAGGGACTTCTCAGACTTTATCAGCCATAATGAGCTTATTGATATCCCCCTCCAAGGCTGCAAATTTACTGGGTCTAACCACAGCTCCAACCCCCCCCTCTCTAAACTTGATAGATTCCTGATCTCGGCAAATTGGGAGGAACATTTCCCTAGATCGCTATCTATGGCCTTACCCAAACTTACCTTGGACCACTGTCCCATCCTGCTTGACACAAATGCTGTAAATAGGGGTCTCCGTCCCTTTAGATTTGAACTTCATTGGCTCCTAGAGAAAGACTTACCAGCTCTAGTCCAATCTTGGTGGAGTTCCTTCGACTCCCAGGTTTCGGGGAGAGTGGGATTTGTCCTTCAGAGGAAAATTCAGTTCCTCAAAAGGGGCTTTCAAATCCTGGAGTAGAACCACTTTTGAGAATTTTATGCAATTAAAGTCTTCCTTACTGGAAACAATCAAGAACCTTGATGGCATCAAAGAAACCAGACCCTTAGGAGCTTCAGAACTGAACCTTAGGTCCAAGACTAAGTTGGAGTACTTGCTTGTTTTAAAGAAAGAAGAAATCTATTGGTTTTAGAGATCGAGAGTTTCGTGGTTGAAAGCAAGGGACCACAATACAGGTTTTCGTCATCGGATAGCCAATTGTCGAAGTAGAGACAATGTTATTACGATGGTGACAGTTAACAACTCTTACCTCACCCTTCCTGGTGAAATTCAACAAGCCATTCTTCTATACTTTCAGAACTTATGTTCACCCCCCCTGAACCTAGACCCAGATTCTCGACCTTAGACTTTCTAACGCTCACCGAAGCCTAAGCAACTTGGTTAGAGCGACCTTTCTCTGAACAAGAGATCCTCATTGCGATTAAAGCTCTAGCAAGCGACAAGGCCCCTGGCCCTGATGGCTTCCCGATTGCCCCCTTCAAGGAGTTCCGGAACATAGTACGCCAAGACTTCAAGAAATTCTTTGAGGAATTCTTCCACAGGGGCCCTTTTAAACAAAGCAATGAATGCCACCTACCTTGCCCTGGTCCCCAAAAAGGAAGGAGCTGAGGAAATCAAAGACTTTCGGCCTATCAGCCTCCTCAATTCCTCCTACAAGATCCTGGCCAAGGTTCTAGCGTCAAGGCTGCAACATGTCCTGCCTTCCATTATCTCTAATCCACAATCTGCCTTTATCAAAGGCAGACAAATCCTGGATGGGGCCTTAGCAGCACATGAATGTGTCCATTCGAGACATCGCTCTAAACAACCTGGTCTCATCTTTAAAATAGA